CCCCTGCAACAGAGCGCGCATGAAAGCACACACAAAACAGCGTTCCAATTTGGGACAGTTCGACTCCTTACCAGTTCGAACTTGTAACAGTTCGATTCTGTCCGCGTTCTGTTCTGGTACGTGTGCGAAAAAAGGACTGTTCTGACTTGAATCTGTTCGATTTTAGGTCTGTTCGATTTTGAAAACGTTCGAATTCGTCGTACCCCCATTTTCACCCAGAAAATCTACCATAATTTTAAAGGAACATTCTTCGATAGGGCTACTGTAATTGAAGGTGCGTGGCTTTGACCCAAAAATTTCGTAATTTTTTGACCTATTTTCAGCGATTTTTATCTTAAAAATCATGAAAATCGTCGAAAAATAGAGAAAAAGAAGCTAAAGTTGATTTCACGAAAATTCCGGCTACTGTAAATGTTGGTTATGTGCCTTTAATACCGTAACCCGAATTTTCGTAGTTATTTCAGCATTTTTTGCACAGAGTTGTGTCGATTTTCAAAGATTTTACTCGATTTTCTGCATTTTTTATCGGAAAAAAAATCGAGAAAATCGTCGAAAAAATAGACAAAAATAGGCTAAGACTAGCCAAAATTCGGCATACTGTAATCATAGGATTTTGATTACAGTAGATGAAGTTTCGTAAATACCGTAACCACCCTATTAGAAGGCCATCCGATCCGCCAACTTTGAGCCCATATATCTCTGCTCCTATGAGAGATATCAAAAGAAAGTCGACTGATAAAATGTTCATCATAATATCACAAATATTTTTTCAGTTGACCACTTTTCGATAGCTCTTACAGAAAGCGAGATATACAGGCTCTAATTTGGCGGTTCGGGTGGCCTTCAGACGGTATTTTGGCATTTTTTCAGCGATTTATTTCAATTTTTCATAGATTTTTTATAGAAAAAAACCATGAAAATCGTCGGAAAATAGGTTGGACTTTATTTACAAAGTTCGGGGGGCTACTGTAATCAAAGGCGCATGCATTTTCATAAATAGTTAACGTTCGATTTACACCCCGATTTTCGACCCCAACGAGCTTATAGCTTAGAGCTATACTGCATTACGGTTATTCGCATTTGAGCGCATTTGCATTCCGAACAAAAACCCCCTGCGCCCCAAACACCTTCTGCCACGTCATCTCAACCCTTCAATCCCTTTCAGCCAAATTAAAGTCATTACCTCTCTGCTTGGCTAACATTTGACGGAATAGATGCGCGAACTTGTTGTTTGTCTCCAGCTCCTCCTCTCCTTGACCACCATCCTCGGTGTCTGCTGCTGAAAAAATTCTCAATTGTTTTTTCTAAAGGTGTACAACTCGTGGGAATTCTAAAGGGATTAGAATTCCGTTGAGTTAGTTGTGGGTGGCTATAGCTCATGGGAGATTATGTGAGGGTGGCGACCTTATCACCTTGATGATCATTTGAAAAAGCTCGTCAAAGAATGTCAAAGAAGATTTGTGTCAGGAAGAAAAAAGGGATTAGGGATGTTATATCAAATGACAGCTCATTAATTGTCAAAAAAATAATAAGTTCATGAGCTTTTCGACGAAAAACAAGCTGGATATGAAAATAGATTCTATAGAAAAAGAGGACCTAACCTGTGACAATAAAGAGCTTACGTAATAGTGTTAAGATGGAAATCCAGGTCACAAATCTACCGTAAGCGCTCTAATAGAAGCCTACCTTATTTGAACTCAATTATCTCGGTTCCTGTTAAAGATATCAAGAATCTGTCAACTGATAAAATGTTTCTGATATTATGATAAATATTTTATCAGTTGGCAAAGTCTTGATATCTTTTATAGGTAACGGGATAAATTGGTTCAAAATTGATGAGTGCCATAATGAAACGTCTTCTTGACAGTTAACTTTGAGCCCATATCTCGCTTCCTATGAAAGATATCAAAAATCTATCATCTGCCAAAATATTTTTATTTAATGATGAACATTTTATCAGTTGAAGCGACATGATTATTGGAGTGTTTACAGTATCTGGGAATCTAGGTCACAATAAAGAAAGTTCAAAGTTAAAACATTCCTCCACCCTCAATTCCTATTCTTTGACCACGCACTCTTATGGTCCGGTCCATGGTCCCAGAAGTCCCCTAGAGAACACACACGTTGATTGATTGCCTCCTTCTAAAAGTGTCGTGAGCCATTTATATCCAACACTCCCACTCGAAATATATCATATGGTCTTGTATGTAAACAAGCGAATTTCAAAGTGCAAATATTCGGAAATTTTCTAAGTTGATTTTTCGGATTAAGAATGGTCCGCCTAATTTTCTTATTGAAAATGACAATCTTTAGGGGTCTAATATATCTCGATCCCTTCTTGAACTTTGACCCTGATTAAGTGGGTTCCTAGTAGAAACATCAAAAAATAGCCAAGTAACAAAATGTTACTGATATTATAATTAACCTTTTTTCAGTTGACAACTTATTGATATCTTTATTAGGAACCCAGATAATTAAGTTCAAAGGAAAGGCGCCCATGAGCCGCCATCAGCCCGCCAACCACCTTTTCACCTTATTTTTGGGCATAACTCGGTTCAAACTTAGAATTTCGAATTGGATCAAAAAGTAAAATGTAGAACTTGATCAGATCTACCAAACCATATTTAATTCGACTATGGTTGACCAGCGAGTTTCTGACCAGAATCCTTAAATTTGCTCGAGTAGGTCAGCGCATCCACTCGGAATACTTGTCGATCGCGCCGGCGCATAACTCAATTCAAACTAAAGATTTTTGATTGGACAAAAATGTAAAATGTAGAACTCAACAAGATCTGCAAGATGATACCTAATTCGACTATATTCGAGTGTTGAGTTTTTGACCAGGGGCCGTAAAACAAAGAGAGCGTCAAAATCAGTCCGGGTAGCTCTGCCCTCCTTTGCTCCTCCTGGTTAAAAGTTCGCTGTTGAAATAAGTTTGAATTTAACACCATTTTGTAGATATCATTGAGTTCTACATTTTCTGATTCAGACCGAACATCCAAAGTTGAGCTAAGTTATGGGTCGGCGCGATTGACGAGTATGCCGCGTGGATGCTCTGAGCATATCCGGGCAATTTTAGAGCTTCTGTTCAGAAACTCCCTATTTCAGCAATATTGAATTATGTATTATTTTATAGATCTAGTTGAGTTCTACATTTTGCTTTTTAGCTCGTTCGAAAATTCCACTTTTCAGCCGAGTTATGCTCTTTCTGAAGATTAAATCTCATTAATCTCAAAAATTAAACACCAATACAACTTCTTATAACAATTTAATTAAAAATTGCACCTGCTAGGCTAACCTGAAAAAAAATGTTGCCAAATTTATTCCGCACGAATTAGCCTAACTTTTTTGACTTCAAAGGGACAACTACAGTATCCACACTCCCTTACCTTCTTCACTTCGCCACGTGGATCGAGCTGCAACGATTCCAACCATTAATACCATCAAAAGGAATAATTTTCCAGAAGGCATTCTCTCCAGACGACAACACCAAAACGAAGTAGTATGATAAACTAGGTCAGGAACTAGGCCAAAATTGGGCGGAGTCTGTCTTCAAGAGAAGGAAAAGGGGGCGGCGCAATAATTGAATTGTTAGGGAAGCAGAAGAGGTGGTGGGGGAGGAAGCTTAAAGGCGCATGATGGATTGAAAAAAAAGAAAAAAGAAGGAGCACTAATTAGGACTCCGGAAATTGCATGACCTTGTATGACATATATCTGCTTAAAATTTTATTAAATTTTTATTCCGTTTTTTTGAATTCTGACGTCATCTAGAAGCTTCTGCAATTGTAAAACAATTTAGAGTTGTATAAAGTTTATTCGTTTAAAGGAACAGAGGACTAGAAAATCGTAAAAAAAAAAACAAATAAAAGAAGAGGTGGGATTTTGGTGTGAGTGTGTACTAACCGTCATAATTTAATGAAAACTGGCAGAAGAGGAATAATAAAAAAAGAAAATGTTTTAATTTATCAAAAAAGTTAGGCCACGGCCTGAGCGGTCAGTTGGTGGCAGATAAGGTCCACGTCGTTTCCGTTTTTCTTGAAAACCGGCGGTACGTTGTTGTTTTCTGCGTCGAAAACTCGAATCGTTCGTTGTTTTCCACCTAGAGTACATGTGACGGCTGATTGGATGATGATTGGTGGGCGGCGCATGGTGATTCTGAAAATATTGGGTTTTAGAATATAGTCGAATTAGACATCGTTTTGTAGATCTCAGTCAGCGCCGCATTTTTCATTTTAGTTCAAATCAAAATTTCGAGTTTGAACCGAGTAATACCCAAAAAAGGGTGAAAGGTTATTGGCGGGCAGATGGCGGCGCCTTCACTTTGAGCCTAATCATCTCTGTTCCTGTTAGAGATATCAAGAAGTGATCAACTGACAAAATGTTTACCATAATATTACAAACATTTTATCAGTTAATCTTTTTTATAGCCCTCACGATAACTGAGTTTAATTGACTCAAAGTTAACGGTGAGCATCTAAATTTTGAAAACATTCAAGTTTTGTAAAATTCAAAACAACATTTTTTTCATTGAAATTGAAATTTTAGCGATTTTTTGAAAAATCTCGCTTTCTTAAATTATGCGATTTCCCGAATTTCCCGAATTTCAGAATTTCTTGTAATCTCAGAATTTCAAATTCCTGTTTTTGCGAATCTCGAAATTTGAGAACCCTAATTTTCATTAGATCTTCTCAAGTGTTTTGTTGGATTTTCGGCGATTTGAATTACTAATTTTTTTTGTGTTTTGTGAATAAGGGACTCAATTTTTTGGTTCTCCAATTCTTGGAAGTTTTTCAGAATTTTACAATTTTCAAGTTAAAAAAAACTCAAAAAAAAGTATTACTTTCTTCAAATTATATTGAGGTTTCGAGTTTTCAATTTTTTGCTTTTACAGCATCTAAACAAAATATTTTAGCAACGGAGCTCGTTTGTAGCTCTGCCTCTCAATTCCCCGAACTCTTTCCCAAATCGTTTTAAATTGGTTTTTTTCATTCTTCTCACATTCGAATTCTTTTTTCTAATAAAACCAAGCAATAAATGTGTATGCTCACTTGTCATAATGAGCCAACAGCGTGCCAATCATTTCTCCCACTCTCTCCTCATTCTTTGTATTCTTGGCACATCCGACGATGTCGTTATCGCCAACATGAATCACAAAGAGGCCATTCGATTCGGCGCTTACCGAGATACGTGAAATCTGAAAATATGAAATGGAGGGAATTTTGAAATTTTGACAACGATTTTTAGCTTTCCACCTAAATTCAGTTTTTTTGTATTTTCCTGAACATTCTAGGATCAAAATCCAACCTTTGACCTAGATATTCTCTTATTTCTAGGTCATTAAAAGATCAGATTTTCAGATAAATTTCTCAAAGTCAAAGGTTGTTTCCTAGTTTTCTGATTTCAAAAAAAATCCCAATAGACAAAACAGAATAAAAAATTGAAGGTGTCTAGTCAATTTTCTTCGAAATCTGTGTGTGGGCGATGAATAAAAAGTTAATATTCAAATCTCTATGGGAACCCTATTTTTTCTGATTAAAAATTCCAATTATTGTTTTGGTGCTGGAAGGTTTTCTTGGAATAAAAAATGGCTAGACCCTTTAATTTTTTGTTCTAGGAACTAAAAGGGATTCATAGAAAGTTTTATGAGTTTTGGACTTTAAAAGTACAAGAAGAAAATACCGTAGACACACTTTTTGAAGAAAAATGTTTTGAGTTTTGATAAAGGGATTCGAAAAATTAATGAAAAATAGTCACAGAGACCTAACTTTGAGCCCATATATCTCGCTTCTTGTAAAAGATATCAAAAAGTGGTTAACTGATGAAATGTTACTAATATTATGATAAGTATTTTATTAGTTACCGTTTTTTGATATCTTTCACAGGAAGCGAGATATATGAGCTCAAACTAAAGTCAGAGATTTTTGACGTTTTCAGTGGAAGATAGTCATTTTCTATCTTTGATTTTTTTTTCGATTTTTGGCGTAACTAAGAAAACCGAAAATTTAGGTCATGACCTGGAAAAAATTAGGTCATGATCTGGGAAAAATTAGGTCATGACCTGGGAAAAATTAGGGTATGACCTGNGAAAAATTAGGTCATGACCTACAAAAGATCAGGTCGTGACCTAGAAACCCAAAAAATTAGGTCACGACCTAGAAAAATCAAAAAGTTAAGTCATGACCTAGAAATCCAAACTTGACCCAAACTGCTTTTAAAATTTCAATTTAATAAAATGAAAATTTCCCAAAAATGAATCAAAATTTGACGTTTAAAATAGGAAATAGTCAACTTTGAAGTCCTTAAAAAGTAGATCAGAATTTTTCTATTCGCCTGAAAATTTTAGAGTCTACTAAAGAAAAGAAGTACTTCATTTTTATAGTTGAAAACTTTTTTGTGAAAATCCTAAGCGAGAAAAATGGGTTTCAAGGGGTACAACGGGACTTTTGGCATCTCCTTGATTCCAAACTGCATATCTTATCAGAATGCATTTTTACAAAAAAGTTGTCAATTACAAAAATGAAGCTCTAATTTTGTTTGGTATACTCTGAAATTTTCAGAAAAAAACGCAAGATTCTGGCCCACTTTTTTAGGTCCCTGAATTCCACTTTTAAAATCTTTCTCAAGTTTTTAACTTACCGCTTGCAACGGAATCGGTTCTTTCAACAATTTGAATTTCTTCGTTTCCAATTTTGCCACAAACCGATCCGTCACCACGAGCACTCTCAACGAGCTTTTGTTGAATTTGTTGAACTTCTGAATATACGTGGAAAATAGCACTTTTCCAAATGGATGGCTCTGTCTCAGCGTCTGAATTCCATCCTGATACGTGGATACCGAAGTGGGAAGGTCCAGCTCCTCCTGTTGGGATAGATAGTCTCCTCGCCACATTCTCGGATACCCCCAATTGTCTTTTTTGTTATGGAAGACTTCGAAAGCGGCGATTTTCTGTGGGAGACTGGCTCGAAGGTGTGGAGGGATTTTGGAGAGAATCGTGGCGGCTTGCCAGCGTTGGTGCATTACTCGGAGACGGGACACAAATTGAGCAAGGACGAGCGGGGGAGCTGGCCATCGGACAGACTTTCCGAGATTTTTCATTTGACGCACGTTTTTGGAAAAAAGCTATTTTTTAGTGGGAAACGTCCTTTCTGGTCCTGGGTCCTAAGCTTTTTACAAAAAAAAAAGTTGTCCACTTCAAAAAAGTAGGTTTAGTTTTGTTTAGGATACTTTGAAGTTAATAAAACGCTTTGACAAATTTTAAGTCCTCTTGTAGGTGGTCAAAATCTCCAAGGTCCCTTTTGCGCCCCCCCCCCCCCCCCATCAAAGGCTGTCGGAAAGAGGGTCGCGGCCTTGCTCTCATCCCAAACTCAGTACCTGAACGCATTGATCAACTGCCATATGTACGATTTCAGCTTGTATCGTCTGTATGCTCCAATGATCTTTCTAACAGCCACCATTCGTCGATACCGCTCACGTGCTTGAACTCCACGGACCATCTGAAAATGACAGGGGTACTTGAAAACTACTTGAGGGGATTGGAGGAAAACTAAAAATGCAATTAACAGAATTAGAATTCTTGGTAATGCATTACATTTTGCAGAATAACTGAAATATATTTTTAGAAAAAAAAGCGGTGTCACTTCCAGAGGATCAGAGGGCTCACTATCAGGAAGTCTATAGGATGCACCATATACGTGTACTTTGAGTTTGATTATCTCGGTTGCCATAAAAGATATCAAAAATCTGTCAACTGTTAAAATGTTGGTGACATTACGTTAAAAATTTTATCAATTGACCAATTTTTGGTATCTTCAAAAAGAACGAAGATGATTGAGCTCAAATGTCACGTATAGTGTGGGCTTCTTCCAGAGCATTTAGGGTACCACGAGCAAGTATGGACTCCCTAAGCCCTCTGATCATCTTGAAATGATATTTTCCATTAAAACTCATCCTTCTGAAATTAGCAAGTACCTTTTGCAAGAAAGTGACCACATTTGGCAGATGCTCAGTTCTCAGCTCTTCCAGTTGGAATACTGTCTGTGGGCTTCTTATGAAGATCTTGGTTCTTCCTTGCACACAATCTTGTGCCAACCCGGCAGACTCCAAAATCTGCATACAAGAATCTGGAAGCCGTTGTCCGCGTCGTGGATTTGGCCAAGTCTGAGGGCAGATTAGCTTGTACCGATTGACAAATCGATCATAGGGCATGCGATGGGCAAATCCGGCACGTCGAACCCTCACGTTTTCCAGGAGACCCAGGTAGCGGACCTGATGCTCCACTCTTTCCAAATCGAAAATATTCGAGCTCTTCTCCTCGTTTGGTTTGATACATCTGATGTAGTGTGGCTCCTTCTGGGCTAATTGTTTTACAAGATCACTCATAGAATTCTTAAACAGGAATCCAGCCGTTGGAGGACGACGGTTAACCTCGGCCATGGATTTTGAGCCGTCAGGGAACAAGCTTTTGATCAGACGATTTTTGCTAAATTGCGGGGGATCCTCTAGAG